GTGTGTGTGTGTGTGTGTGTACGTGTGTGTGGGCCGGATGGATGTAGGCGTGCAGTAATTGTGATCAGAGGTAGACGTGACAGATAATGCCAGGACATAAATAATGGAGGTGACTTCCTTTGGGCCACTGCCTCATCTTTGATTAGGACTCCAGAGGTTTTGATGCTTCCTGATGGTAACATCCAGAGGGACCGGTTGTGATGTACATGTTGCCGAGTGACCACTGTCTGCTCTGGCTACGCAAAGGACAACTACATGTTAGGTTGCTATGAAAGGGGGGTTATTTCAGGATCATGCAGGCAGGCCCTTTTAAGAAAAACTAACTCTGTCCTTTTGGAGCAGCCTCGAGAACCTTTTTGGGGGACAAAGACTTATAATGTGTTTCTCTTCATCATAACAGAGGCCTGCTAGCTGTGGGCCTACTCTGGTGGGACACAGCCTGATAACTACTCTGCATTCCTGGCCAGACTGGGCAGGCGGGCGGGCTCTGGGCGCTCCGGGGATTACAATGTCAGCATGGCGATGGAAGGTTGTGCTCAAACGCGACTGGCTGGCCTGCAGCAGTAGGTGCAGCTCCTCAGGCTGTCCCGATCTGTGCTACCCTCGTTGCTTCCACGACGGCCGTCCTCGTAGTGGGACACTGGATGTCAGAGAAAAAAACAGAACATGTGAAAATAAAGCTAATATTTCACAGCTAGGGTCTTTATTCCTGTACTGGGCCATAACTTTATTTGTTTGATGTGTATAGGATGGGTCTATATGATCTGCAGGAGCTGGTCAGCTACCTAGTGCCGCCTAAAAATAAAACTTAAGAGGGTGAAATGGTATTTAGCCATTATTAGCCCTTTTTCTTTTAGACCAGCAAAGTGTTGGTGCCAGAGTCAAACCTTTTTTCTTCTGGCCTAGAGTCAGTTCATGAAACAAAACACAAAGAACTGGTTGAGGGAACTGGCCCTGGAACTTTCTGGAGCTGTGTTCATGCACTGAACTCCGCAGATACTCCATATAGAGTGAGAGGCTCAGTAGCTTCTGAGGACTTTCGTCTGTGGAAAACAGGTTATGGAGCTTGAGCGAGGTCCCAACATATATCAAATCTGCCCCAACCATAACCTGATTTAAAATAAGTTAAAAACTGATTGATACTCTGGTGCCTAAACCTTATCATTTTTACTTGCATGTTAATTAGATATGATCTGTTTTTTAATGATCTGCCCATCCATCCATCCATTCATCCAACAACTCACCCATCTGCATCAATGCATCTTTCTATTCATCCATCCATGTTCCCTGTTAGTTACTTGAGTCACATCTGATTCAAAGCGAGTGTTTGTTTATTCACTGTGAACTGATAACTCACAGCTCTCTTCCTCTCCATTCCCCAAATCCTCCTCCTCCTCCTCCTCTTCCTCTGGGAGCAGATGTCCATGGCAGGGACTGGTGGGCGTTATCTGACTGGGTCCCTCAAGACTTGTGCCCAGCTGCAACTTCCGCATGTGGCGCACCACCGCTGTGGCATTAAACGCTTGCTACATGGACACAGAGAGTGCGTGACAGCTAGTGAGAGAAGAAAAACAGCCCGGGTGTACAGAATGTGCTGCCAATCTTCAAACAGCTCATTCAGCAGGTTGTGCTGTGACACTGACCTTCCATTTGCTCTTAGCAAAGTTCTTCTTGATCTGAGCACTGACAGATTCATGGATATTCTTGTCCAGAGCTGTGTCTCCACAGATCCTGCAAAGTCACCAAACATGAGAGGATTTACAGCATTATTGTACATATTAATGTTTTAATTTGTTTCAATCATTTCTCAAGCAAAAACATGGAACATTAGTTCCACACATTTCCTGACTGTCTTACCATGGATGTTGGAGTGCCTGCTCACAAGTATATCTCTTCAAAGGGTCTTTCTCCATCAAGTGACAGATGAAGTCTTTGGCTGGCAACAAAAAAAGCATCACATTGTAAAAGTCTGACCCACTCTGACGTGTTTGAAGGTATTTTTAGTAAGTGACAATACCTGAATCTGAGATGTCGTCCCAGTACGGAGAATCAAACTCATACTCTGCTTTCAGAATCTGCTCAAATAACTTTGCGTCATTTTCATCGTAAAATGGAGGATATCCACATAATCTGCAGGAAGAGTATAAAAACATTTAAAAACTTTTTAAAGAATATCCCTTTTCTGTTTTACTTCTTAGGAATGATTGAGTTCAGACTTACAGGATATAAGAAATAACTCCTATGGACCAGCAATCTACTGCTTTGCTGTACGGCTTCTGAGCGAGCACCTCTGGAGCTGCGAAACACACACATTCACAGAGTGGAAAACATATGAGCAGCAGTTGGAGTGAATTCAAGTAATCTTGACCTTTCAGTAATACCACGAGATCTGCTGGGTCATGTTAAACAGGTATGGAGAGCACTTCTGAAACACTTGCATTTGACTCAGTCACGGATGAAAGCACCTCTCACACAAGGCGGTGAATGAAGAGAGGATATCAGCTGAAACTACAGGGGCTGCTTCTCGAATGAAAGAGAGGGGGGGAAGTGAGGACAGCCCGGCGGACCAGGCAAACAAATGCACCTACCCACATATCCTGGAGTGCCACAGGCTGTGGACATGACGCTGCCCGCTCCCTCGATCTTTGACAGGCCGAAGTCGCTGATCATAATCTTGGAGTCTTCGTCCATGCTGTAATAGAGCAGGTTCTCCGGCTGCAAAGAAAGAGGCAAAGTTTGAAAACTGGAAAATATAGGCTGTCACATTTCAGCCTTTCCTGAACGCTGATACCTTCAAGTCTCTGTGGACGATTCCCATATCATGGAGATATTTAACGGCATCTAAGATCTGGTGGATGAGCTGGCTGGCATCTCTCTCAGTGTAGAACCCTTTCTCCACGATCCTGTCAAACAACTCGCCTCCAGAGACCCTGGCAGGTGAAAATCATGAGGGACAAGAAAAGGTTAACAGTTCTGCACCTTCAGAGGTTTTTTTTTGCTTTAAATGTTGTATTAATATATTTTATTACTTCCAACAAGGAGGTTATGGTTTAGTCTGTTTATTTGTTCTACTCAACCGATTCCCATTAGAATGAGTGGAGGGGTGCGATATGACCCCAGGAAGAAGGTGTAACATTTTGGTGCAGATCCAGTTCAAGGGGCGGGATCCAGGATTTTTTTTAACTTTCCTTAACATTGTGTGTTAGGGTGTTTTTCAACATCTTGATCCTGATGAAAAATACATTTATGAGTGTCTGCTATTTGGTGCAGATCCAAATGTTGTTGTTTTTTAATCTAGAGACTTTAGTCATGTTAATTGCTGCAAATCAGTTTTCTGTCATTCAACTAATTGATTAATGAAATCAGCAAAAATATATATAAAATGCATTCAATTCAGGCCTTGACTTTGTGTGAGTGAAAGAGCGAGGAGAACTCACAGCTGCATGACAAGATATAGGTGAGATGTACTTTCAAAGATGTCCTCCAGCGACACGATGTTGGGGTGCTTGATTCTGAGGAAGATGAGTGGACAGAAATCTGCAGTGCATTTCATTTTCGTATGTGCCATATTTCACTAACGCTTACTGTCAAACGGTCACCAGATGGCATTCTTGTTGCATAATTCAGATGTACAGGGTCTGTTCTGTCTTTCTTTTTTTCCTCTGTAAATTGGGATCAAACCTATGCATCTACCCTGTTCCCTGAAAATACAAAACGACAAAGCTTCAGATGGACGATTTGTTAAGAACGACAGTGATTGTTTGTCGGCTTTAGATATTACAGCTGAGGCCTGTATGAAGGGCTGTGAAATTGTCATTCAAAGACCAGATTTGGATGATTTCTTTTTAATGGGCAGACGAGCGTCTCTCTCTTGGCCCTCGAGTTGAGCTGAGAGCATATGAACTCGCCGTCACTTCAGCACGGCAGCAGCTGAGCGAGGCTAATGTGACTTTTATGAGAATGAGCGAGAAATGCTCCTCTCCTGCTTTTTTCCTCAAACTATTCTTCAACTTCCTTGACGTCTCTTGTTCTCAGGACTCTCTTATCTATTTCCAGGAGACTTTAAGCATTTGGCCAAACTCCATTTCTACCATCCATCCATATCTTTAACCCTCCATCATACCCAACCCCCCCCCCTCTCTCTCTCTCTATTTCTCCACCCTCTATGTCTCTTTCTCTTTCTTCAATACACTGCTGCGGGGAATTCCACACCATCTCCGCCTCTGTGTGCTGTTGCCCTGGCAACAGGGACACTAAAAATAGGTCTATCTTCTTTACTCCTGACCTTTCCGGTGCACAATCCTACTGTTTCTACTGACACCATGCATTTAGTCACCCATTCAATTGACCCCTTGCATATATATCTTCTGCATCTGCACATGCACTGTTTGCAAGAGGCCACGCGGATCCTCCTGCTGGACATGAGGCGACGGCTGAGGCGTTGCGAGGGGCTTCACCTATGTAGTACTGCGATCTCATTCTCGATGTTGTTCTCTTTGCCCTCCAGTGCTTTCTTGGGGATGCACTTGATGGCCACCAGCCGCTGGGTCCTCTTCTCCTCTGCTAGAACCACCTCGGAGAAAGCTCCGCTAGAACACAGGCAGAGGAAACACACACACACACACACACACAAAGGTACACATTAGAGAGGAATGTCAAATGTGTGGGAGTTTGAGGTGAAATGCATAAGAGAGAATGGGGAAAGAATGGGCTGCAGGCCAAAATAGTGTCACACGAAAGCAGGTAATTACAAGAAATTCCCAGTGACAGGTTGTCAGTGCAATGTCGTTGTTGGTAGATTGCTACAATATCTTAAAAATATCCTATACATCTCATTCAACAATGTGTGTGTGTGTATAGATGAATAATTGAATATGGTGACATAACTGAGAGGTTTTGGGGACTGAGATAAAGCTCAGGAGGTGAAGCCACAGTCGCAGTAAGATATTTAGAGGAAGAGCACTTGCTTCATAAAAAAAAGAACCCAAAAAAACTATTTTTAATCCATTCAATAATAGATGCGGTAAAATGTAGAGTGTCTTTTTCTGGAGAGTAGACTGCATTATGGATTATGGTCTGGTGGCGATGAGAGCAAGAAAAGTGTGTATTTACAGTCTCCCCACAGGGGCGTGGGAGGGGGCGCAGGAGGAGGCCTGAACGCACAAACATTGTCAGCAACCGCAGGGATCCTTTACATGTATGGGAAGCAGCGCTGTCACACGACGGATGTCTTCTTTCACATTCGTCTCCCCCAGAACCATGTGAGCAAAAGTCACTGAAGTCTGCAGCCCAAATAAAAGCATGCAGACTTTACTGTGCTGTTGCCAGTAGCAACCATGCCATAAGAAGGCAAACATCTGTCACTTCTCTCTGTTTATTCTGCTTTTAATGGTTATTAAGACTTGGAGCTGAAGAGTTACTGTGAGACCTGACCGTCTCAACTTTGTCAACCTTTTTTCCCATTTATCGTGTCACATTTAATGCCCTGTAGCAATCCTTGAGATGGCGTTGTACCACGGCCATGTTGTGCTCAACCAACCAGAGACATTTGAATACTAGTGAAGCCGATGCACATGAGGAGCGCTGATTCTCTTACACATCTCTGGTTTCATACTAAAATTATCTCAAAAGCAAAATCATATAAAGCTCAAGTTCCATTCGATCCATAAAAGCATTTTAATATGTTTAGGTTTGCAGCTCCGACCGCCAGGGTCTCACCGCAGGATCAGGAGTTCTCAACTTTTGTTAGGGATCAGTAAAATATATTTTATCTTATTAGCTGTTTAAAATCAGAAGCTGAGACCAGGACTGAGATCTATCTTTTGTCTGTTGGAATCTAGAGGACGCTTCACTCATTACCACTCCTTACTGAAACTGTCTCTGAGATATGTTGTCACGTGGCTCTAGGAATAAGAATGTCTCCTAGCTGGATTGATACAACACAATGTTACAATGACAGATGTTGTTTGGCCTGTTTGCTCAACTAAAGCCGGTTATTACCTCTGCCAAGGTGGCATGTTTTCATCTGTGTGTGTCTGTTTGTCTGCAAGAATATGCAAAAACTACAGGATGATTGACGTTTTGATTATAACAAAACCTGATGGAAGGAGTTTGGATCAGGGAAGAACACATTCAATTTTGGTGAGGATCCAGATTAGGGGTGAATCCAGGAATTTATTCATTTATTACAAGATTTTTTTCAACATTTTAATTGAATTCTCAGAAGAATAATTCATGTATCTAAAAAGTCAGGCATAGGGGGCTGATACTTATGAGTGAATTTAGGTTTTTGTCGTTCCATAAGGGGACTGTTAGAGTTATGTACTCTCCTGAGTGCAATTCTAAAACTAGGCTAAGTCAAAAATAAAATAAAACACATTCTGAGAAATACATGTTTTAATGACTGTACGTATGTTATTATGACCTAGAATGACAGGTGTAAATATGCCTGCATCATTTCCTCTGATATTTTTGACTCTCAGAATGACTGTGAGCAAATGAGAGCCAGCAGATGTGCACACACACACACACACACACACACACACACACACACACACACACACACATACATACACATACACACACACATTCGTGCACACACACACTTTTCTACTGTTGCCGTGAGACACATTGTAATTAACCATCCAGTTGCTCATTCCTCCTTGGAGACTTAGTAGGGTAGGACTCTCAGGGTTTGGGAGCAGAGGAAGGAGAACCAGAGGAAGCTTCTGTAACCGTTTGATTTTCTGAAGCACTAATGTGGAAATCTCTGACATGGTTCACTTCTGTTCACTAATTTGCTTTTTCATTCCTTTATTTAGACCACTGAAATCTTGACACATGATTTTATCTATTTTACTCCAGGACATAATTCTGGCAAACACAGGTTAACTTCAAATCAAAATGAATACATTTCATATGAGTCACTGGTCTCAAGACTCATAGCTGACGCATCTGTCAGCTCGGCTGTTTTTAGAGATGGATGGATAGATAGATGGATAGATGGATAGATAGATAGATAGATAGATAGATAGATAGATAGAAATATGGATGATGGAT